ATATATATATATATATATATATATATATATATATATATATAGCTATATATTTAATTATTAAAAAAATTCTTAAAAAAGCTAATTAATTTAGATGCTTTATTTATATTAAATTATTTAAATAATATATTTAGATTTAGATTTAGATTTATTTTCATATTGCAATACAATAATAAAAATGTATTCTGCTAAAAAAATTTTGGTATGCTATTGCATTATATAATAATAAAAATAATAAAAATATGTTTTGCATTTCTTTTATTGCGCTTCAAAATAAAAAAAATATATCATTACGATTTTTAATATTGAATACATTTTTAATATAATGTTTTAATGTAATATAATATATTATGAATATGCGATATTGTTATTAGAAATATATTTTGTTATATAACTGAATAGATGATGGTTTCTTATGAAAAAATAAGTTGAAAAGAAAAAATAAAATTTTTTCATTTTTTTTGAAGCTTTATTTTTGAGTTAATTAAGTTTGAAAAATATTAATGAGAAAATAATCATTTAAATATGAATAAATTATTGATAATAAATTATTAAGAAAAATTTTTTCATTTAATAATTTAAGAAAATCGAATTTGAAAATTTGCTTATGATTTAACTCCTTGATTGTATGTCCAATCTTATTTTTCTAAAAAAAAAATTTAAGCAATAAAATTTTATTTTACATTTTTTACTTATTTGCATGTGTTTAATAACTGAATCATTAGTATTCAATCGAGAATTAATCGGATTTACTTGTATTTAAATTTTTTTTTAAATTTGATTTATTCGAAAACAAATCCTCAAATGAAATAATTTTATTTTCTTATTTTTGATTTATTTTTTCATGAAGAATTTTCTATCAGGAAATATCCTACCCATAAATAATAAAATATTCTATAGAAACATAAATATGTTTTATTATTATCAAGTACAAATAACAATAAAAATAATTGAACTTTAGAAAAAAATAAAAGAAAATTGGAGAAAAAAGTAAGAAACTGAATGTGTATTTATGATTCTATATTAGTATATCTATTTATGAAAATATCTAGATTTTATTTTCTTTATATCAGAGAGATATAAAATTATATATATTCTGTAGAAATATAAAAAATATATACAATTTATAATTTTATATTATTAGGATTATTATTATTATTAAGATATTTAAATATTATTTCTAATTTAAAAATTGTACATATAATAATTAAATTTAATCTACATCAATGTGTATATTTGTGTATTGCATATATTTGTGTATATTTGATCAAAAATACCTCTGTAAAAGTGAGTATAGTTTACATTTATCTAAATAATATTGAAATAATAATAAAATATAATAAAAATTTATTATAAATTATTTTATTTAGGCACAGAAGTTAATAAATCTCCATTTTGGTAATTCCTCTACTAGCGTATTTCTCACAATTCACTGTAATAGTAGATGTGGAAATATTCGCTTCGGGAGAATCAAATAGAAGTGAGAAAGAGTAAGGCAGAAAAGCACATAGGAGAATGGAAGGAAGCTAGATGTAAGAAGCAAAAGATAGATAAAGAGAGAGAAAGAGAAAAAGAGAGAAAAAGAGAGATAGTTGTATCAACGAGATTGCACATACAGATGAAAGACAAAGAGAAAGAGAAGAGTCACGTTGGGTTGTATCACTGATTCTGGCTGGTGGAAAGATGGCGGAGGGTAATTCGAATCGCGTCATATAGCCCTACATATTGCGCATGCGCAACCAGATTCATATAACTGCGATGGTGTCGGTAGGCGGAGCGGCATCTAGAACTAACTTGTACCGGGTGGTACCGCATCACTGTCAGCAAAAACCGCATAAAACGGCACCATTCGCTTCTCTGGTGTACCGACACAGGAGGGGATTCTAGTTGCTCGTGGGGCAGGACGGAAGTTCAAGGCAGTCACGGCGCCACAGGGACGCATGGGGAAGCGCCATGCTGATGATGATGTACACGCCATATACACTTTCAGTTTAATCGGATGACCGTTCTTCTGTACATCCTTTATATTCTTAACTGTTCAATTTGCTTGAGATATATCTTATTTTTGATAATAATTTTTATTGTCCTTATATGTATATTAAAATTAATTTTTAAACTTATTTACTTATATATTTATTGAAAGAATTAAGAATCATCACGCTTTATTTGTTATTTAAATGGAGAATTTACAAGAGATGTAATATTGATCTTTTTTGTATTTGAGAATTGGATTTAAAATATATATATATAATGTTACGCAAAAAAAAAAAATTTTGCAAAATTTTAGTTGTATTTCGTGTATCGTGAAAATTTAATAAAGTGATTAATAATATCTCGAATAATTTTTTTTGATAGATTGTGAGATATTAAGAGATAATAAGTATCATAAAAAAATAATATTTTTAAAATAATAAATAAAATAATAAATCGAGTTTCATTAAGTCATTTAAATTAATCCCTAAGTTATTTTATAAAAAAAACAATGTTGCAGTATTCTAAAAGCTGTACTTTTTAGAATAATAATATACAGTATATTATTATATATAAATAATAATATTATGCAATTTATTCTAAATCTAGATAAATCAATTTCTATTTTATAGAACTTCTTATTTTCTATTATTTTTATATTTATTATTAGTTTAAAAATTTAATGAATAAATATATTCAGAATATCGTTATATATTATAAGGAAAATATGAATTTAATTATGGATACAATACGAAAAAAAAGTAGAATATTTTTTTTTACAACATTTAGATTTCAATTAAACTCTTAAGCACGCAGTAAAGGAGAAAAAAAATGATCAGCGTCGAACACTTCGAGAATGCATCTGTTTTGGAATGAATCGAACTGATATATACTTCGCATCTTATGAAGATTCGGATTATCACTAATTTAATCCATAAAGACTGCAGGAGTTATAAATTTTTTATTATTTACAATATTTACACTTTTGTTATTAACAATTCTAAAAAATTACAAATATTTAATTTAATTTATCGAAAACAAAGCAGATATTATAACAATATATTAATAATTGAAATATTATTACAATATAATAATTAATAGCTATCTATCTATATTAATTTTATAAATATATTATATTGTATAATATATTTAATATGAAGATATACAAAATATAATAAAAATATAATCATGGAATAGCTTTATAAGATTCATTTTATAAAAAGTTTATATACAATAGATAAATAAGATATATAAGGTAAAAAAATATTAATTGAGACTTATATATAAATTATAAGTTTGCGTTTAATAAAATGAGACAGAAACAGAGTAAACGGCAATATAACAGAGATAGATTTGTTATTTAATCCGTGTTTGACTTTATTTAATGCACACTTCAATTTTTTTGCAACTTAATAAATATACTTCATCGACATTTTTGTCTATTTTATATCAATTTTTATCTATTTTGATCTCTAAATCAATCTTCCAGAAGGATTTCATAAATATATTGCCACTTTATATGTAGATACAAATATACATGATACAATAGATATAATAATAAAAATATATTGGGTAAATAAATGGCTAATATTATTATTTTGTATTAATTATACTATATACACATGTACTTATATGCATTCATATAGATATATATAGAAAATATATCTATATTTACATATTGTAACAATATTATATGAAAGATAATGCGCATGTATATCATTTTAATATTAGATTTTCTTATATTATAATGATTTATTAGAAATAGTTATGTTTATTAAACATTTTAGATATTTTTAAAATCTAAAATAATATATATGATATAGAATGATTGATATAGAATGATTCGTTAATACAATAATTTTATATTTATTTTATTTATATAAAAAATAGTATTTTAGATTAGTTTACGAATAAATATATTTATATTACTTAAATCTTTAAACAATCTTATTATAGATCTTTTATATCATTCAATCAATTATACCTAAATAACTATTGATATATTAATATGTAATATTTATAACAATATATTTATAACAATAAAATTATCATTACTCTAAAAATTTTTTAGAGTTTCACAGATTATAAATAATATATTTTAATAATTATATATTTTAATAATGTAATTTTTGTTTATATTAGAATAAAAATAATTCATAAATTAATTAAAAATTCACAATTTAATTATTATTTGTATTTTATAAAAAGAAACATTATCTTTAAAATAAATTATTCATTTTTTAAAATTCTCATACTTGAGCAATTAAATATAATGATATTTGAATCTTATCATTAACAAATAGTTCTTTTATCTGAAAATAATGATTTAAACAATTGGAAGATTATGTTCATTTAATAATTTTTTAAAAATAAAATATATATTAAAATAGAATATAAATTAAAATTAATCCTTTTATAACATAATCCTTACATTAACAATATAGATATTATATATTATTATTATATAATTCTATAATTATTTTAAGTACTATATAATTCCATAATTATTTTAAGTAGTATATAATTAATAATTAGATGATTAATAATTTAATCAATTTCATAATTTTAAAATAATAGGATAAATTATAAAACAAAATAAAAATCTTATATAATTTATTTTAAAAATCTTATATTATATTATAATTTACTTTAATTATAGGTATACTATGAAAAAAAGTATTTTGTAATTTTTTTAAATAATTATCATAATTAATTTATCATATATATAATGTATTATAATAATTAATATATTATAATATATATAATATATTAATATATTATAATATATATAATATATTTCTTTTTCTATGCGATATTATATTTATATTTTTAATTGTGGAATAAAAAATAATTTGTGGAATAAAAATATTAAAATAAAATCAAAGAAAATATGAAATATATATTATTACAGAAAGAATTTATCTGTTTATATATAATTATACTATATTCAAACATTCAATAATAGTAGATTTAAAGCGTCTTTTTTTTTGTTATTTTTTATATTCTATCTCTTCTGCAAATTTTATTGCGTACTTTCGAATATTCAATATATTTATTATAATATATTAAATAATCTTATCTTTATTTTGATAATATCTTTATTTTTATTTTGTTCTTTTTTTATTTTATTTATAATTATTTCTTTAAATACATTTTAACATTAAATATTATTATTTTTTTAAATTATATTTTGAAAAAGCGCGGGAAATATTCAAATTGCATTTATATAAAGTAAATAAGAACTTATTCTTATTTATTCTGAATTTTCTCATGTGATAAGTTCCGAAAAAAAGAGGCGCGTCCAAAGGAGGTGTGAACGTGGAGATGAGGGCGTGGCAGTAGGCGTGTCCTTTGAAACATCCACTACTCTCTGTGGTGTTTCGCTAGTAGTGTTAAGTATGGTAGTGGGGGAGATGGCATCGAACCCCACTAGCCGCAGTCACAATTTAACCGTTCGATAGTGAACATGTTACGATATGTCGCGTTACGGGTGAATTTCTTTTTACTGGAAATAATAATTATTTATCTACTAATTGAATCATAACATATAAATGATATTTTAAAATAAATTATACATTCTTCTACTTATATGGAAATATTGTCTAAAAGTTTTTTCAATAAGTGATTTGAACTGTGAATGTGTCGATTAAACTTTGTTTAACAAAATACAAATATGTTGAACGTTTTAATAAGTGATTCGTACGTTAAACGTATATAAAGTGAATCGTTGTGGATATTTAAAAAATCGAGCTATCAGTTACAAGAAAAAGCATTCGGTTGTATAGCTTTAAGCCGGCCGGCGCCCGCATTAAAGGGAATATGATCAGATCCTACGAGTCATATCTTCCGTTTTGATTATTATTATATCGCAAATATCGTTGAATTCAAATCTATTGATCCATTCTCTATATCGAATTATCGAAAATTGATGTATTTTTCTTTAAGCGTAGTTTGAGAAAACTTTGATTTCGAAATGAATATCTATTTGCTGCAATACGAACTAAAAAAAGTTGAAAAACTGTAGAAATTATTTACCGGTAAATATTTTGTGATATTAATTGAAAATGTAGTTTTTCGTAGTTTGTAATACTTTCTTTCGAAAGGACGACATGCAAAACGAAAACGCGTGTTCATAAATATTTATCTCTTTCGATTTTAAGTTTTCGAATATATTTAGTTTTTGTTTTTGTAAATCAGTATAACATACAAAAAAGAATTTTTGTTATTTTTAATTATTGTTCAATTGTGTTCAAAAAATGCGTGAATAATTTTTTATTTGGAAGTGAATAATAAGTAAAAATTTTATGAATTTTATTTACTGATTTTGTTATTTGCGTGCTTGAGTGAAACTCAATATTGTATAGTGAATAGTGAACAAAAATAAGTGATTACAGTGATGTATTTTAATTGAAAAAAGAATCGTAATAGAAGTGACGACTTCCGACGGTTCCATCATTCTCTTCATATTCTCGAACATGATTTTATAAATGGATATGTTTACTTCTTGGGGATTTCTCTTCAAGATGATCAGAACCTGTCTTTACGCAGTATTCGCATAATCGTCACAGTGGAGTTCTGCTTAATCGCAGGTAAATATTATGCCATTTTACTTAAGATTTTACATTCTACATTTATCTAAATTCGTTTTCTTTTTAATTAATCGAAATTATATTCAAATTTTCATGATTAAAAAAATCTTAATTTTTAAATTTTAAAGTTAATCTCATGGTACTTTTATTAAAACGATTTGACTTTTTGGATTGGATTTTGAATAACACAATTTTATTATTTTACAAAATAATCATAAGGAATGAATCGTACGATACTTCAATTTTATATCTTTTTGTAATAAATTATTATTGTTTATAAAATCTTAATATCTACAATTATTATTGTTTATAAAATTTTTATGTCTACATTAATCTTTGAACAA